AAGAGTCACAGCTGCTGATGCCTAAAACAGACATTCCCTTAAAGCAGATGGTGGCCTCCTTAAAGCTCCCCTGCCTTCTTCTAAATAATTCCCCTTCTGTAGTGCTCCTACCAAGGCCTAAGCTTACACTGGTGCTTCCCTGATGCTTTGCCCTGCTATTGACCTTGCTCCTCCATGTTTTGGTGTGCAAATAACCCAGGTCTGTGGGCTAGGCTCTGCTCCCCCCCAGAAGAAAAGGGGCAGCTTTTAAAAAGGTTCACTAACCCAGGCAAAATTCCTGGTTTGGACAAGGGACGTTGTCCTCCTCATTCATGGTGGTTGGCCATGGCAAATCTTAGGCTTGCTACAAGCACTTGTCTTGACTTGCTCACACAGCCCAAACCTCCAACTGCTTTGTCTACACAAGAATTTGAACAGGGTTCAGCTACCACACTTTCAAAGAGTGTGTCTTCTCTTAATGTAGGTAAGTCCCTGTATTTCATGACCTGAGCTCTGTGATTCTGTTGACATCTTCCCAGTCCTCAGTCCTGGAGGTCCTCGCTCAGCCTAGGTCTAGAACTAATTCTAGTTCTGGTCTAGTATTGCTCTTGCAGTCAGGACACTGAGGGAAGGCACAGAATCACTGGCAGAGCTAGGACTCACAGTTTAAAGATATTCTATCCCCCAGGGGCAAGCAGGGGAAGGGAAGATTCCTGATGACCCAGTGCAGGGAGTCACTGCAGACCTCTGTTCACAAGTGTCACTGGGCATCTTGAAGAGGGGAGAACTCTGTACTGAGGCTCTGTTGGGCCCCACAGAGAAGAAACTGGGTCTGGGCAATGCTCTGATTAGTGCCAGACCAAGTCCAGCAATGTTGACCACGTGCAGGCTGACCAGCCTGGACCCAAGCAGGGGTCAAGAACCTGAGACTTGGCTTTGGAGACTGCGGAGTTCTAAAGACTACAGAGAAATGGGAGCCCTTATCTTACCCCCTGCCTTATCCAGGGGAGCATGCCCCCAACACAGTACTGTGCACAGGGGTGGGCAGTGTGCAGGCGTGCATGTTTCAATGACACTACCTCTGGGGCACAATGCCACAATGGTTCTGCAGCTGTGGAAGCCTTTAGGGCAGGACACAGCCCCAGTTTGCATTCCTACCGCACCTGCCATCAGAGGCTCCTAAAGCAGTTTACAAACATTCTAGCCTACCCCAGTGGCACTCCAATGAGATTGGAAAATATCATCGTCTGCCTCCTACAGAGGTGAAACTGAGGCAGAGAGAGAGGAAGGGACACATTGCATCAGCACCAGAGATGAAACCAGACTCTGGCCCCTTCAACTCAGTGCTTGAGCCTAGCTGCAGAGTAACTCCATTCCTCCTCTAACTCAGTGGTTCTCAAGCATGTTTGGGTCATATTCTCCTTACTAAGCTTGTTATATGGCAAAAAGGATTCTGTGGTGGGGAGAAGAGAAAAGGAACTCAGTGTAACAACTCAGAGATGCTGAGGGAGTGGTCTTCCTTTCTCCTTTTTCTTCTTTTCCCTTCACTTATATTTCTTCTTTCCATTCTTGTACTTCCCCATTCCTTCCCCTCTCATGTTCTCAAGCAGTTTGGCACCTATTCCCAGGGGTACATGTACACCTGGCTGGGAAACACTGCTCTAACTGATGGTGCTGTCTAGCAACCACAGATGAAAGCACAGTGTGAGCCAGAATGCAAACAGGCCGTGGCCAAGGTGGAATTTCTAACACGGCTGTTTTTCTAAAACAGCAAGAGCCAAGTTGCCCAAACAGTTAAACCAGGAGTGAAAATCTGTGCCCCAAGAACAGAGAGCTCCATAGGGCCAGGCTCTGCCCCTTCCTCTCCCCACAGGGACCAGAGCACCTTAGCACAACACTAAAAACTGGGTATGGGGAATCGCTCAGAGTGAATTAAACACCTGAATAGGAAGACCAGAGCCAACTGACTCAAGAGGAGACAAACAACATTGCTCTGCCCATGCAGAATTGCACATTATCCACCTAGATCCCTTATTAGTAGACAGGTCTGGACCACAGGCCATCCACCTCCTACTGGAGTCCCTGGCTTTAACCCCCCAACCCACTGTCCCATCTGGGGAGAGTGGAGAGGCTGCGACCAGCCAACACTTACATTTGTGAAGCAGCAATTTCTCCAAAGACTCCCCCCACTTAAGAGCTTCCTCTGGAGTTGGTCTGTAAGAGAGAAGGGGCCGCTTGTTGGAAAGGCAAATGACTGCTCTCCACTCCCGGCCCTTACTGACTAGACGGCAGCAGAAGCACTGAAACCCAAATACCCTCCCCCCACGAGCAGAGCATCACCACCTGCACCTGAAGAATCAGCTGTGACTCGGCCTCAGCATCAGCATTTCAAGGGCATCTGTAAGCTGTAAGCAAGACAGCTCCAGAGGCCCAGGCTCAGCCTGCCCCTCCTTCGCCCTGACTCAGCTCCCACTCACGGCAGAGTGCCAGCCTCCCACTAAAATAACGGCTTGTTGGCAGGAGTCCTCTGCCGTTAAATGGTAGGCGGGAAAAAATGCAATATAAACAGGGCTGGCCAAGTTCATGCAGTGTGCCTGAACACAAGCCTGTGCCACGGGCTATGGAGAGCAGCGGAGTTGAGTCTCAGGGGCCAGAGTGAGACAGCTCCCAGTTGCTGTGCATGGAGCTGGGGCTAAGAGCTGAGGGCCAGTGTAGTGGTCTTGGAGGTATGCTGCCCTTCCTCTATTTCAGAAAGAGGAGAGAGTTGGGAAGCACTAATGAGAGGTGTTGTACAAAGGGTGTCTGTGCCTCTGCACACAGGCTGCAGTAGCCTCCTCATCACCCAGCAACTCCTCCTGAAATGACTGATGCCAAAAGAAGCCACAATGGGGGAAAACCAGGTCCAGGCCTCACCCAGGATGGGATGGAACAGAGCTGGGCTAGGAGGTTTTGTCTCTGCCTGTTGGGATTTGCCCTATCAAGGGTTTCAAAAAGGCATGAGGAACTTCTCCAAGTGTCCTGTTGGCAGATTAGGGGACCTGGCATCCTGAGGAGGTTTCTCAGGCATAGGCAATAATCCACACAGAGGACAGCTGTCAGGAAAGCCACAAGTCACCAAGCACTACTGCAAGGGATTCCCTGGATGAGCAGAAGGGCCAGGCTGGATGGCCGTGGCTGCTGTCTGGACACAGCTGATGGCAGGGTAGCAGATTGTGAACTTGCACCTGGCTCTGGTGGAATCCCTTGAAGGACAACAGGTTTTTGGTTTTTTGGGGTTGTTTGGGGTTTTGGTTTTTGTTTTGTTTTGGGTTTGTTTTTCTTTTTTGGGGGGGAGGGTGGGGGGTTAAAAGCCAGTGAAGGGAACCGTGGGGCTGTGCCTGCCCTCCCAGCTGGTTGCTGTAGATCACTGGGGTCACACGTTCAGTGCAGATGCTCACACTGTAGCTCATGTCCTAACCCCCATGTGCCAGGGAAGTTCAGAGCCCCAAGCACCAACCCCCCACACAGGCAGCCCCGCAGCAGAGCAGCTCTGGCAGCATCTGGAGCTTCCCACTGCCAGTACCTACTTGAGGGATTTCAGCACTTTGTCCAGCTTGCTGGCAGGGTTGGCCCCTGGAGACTCGTTTCGTCGTCGAAATATCCCCAGTCGGTTCTTCATGTCTTTGGCCCTAGAGACAAGAGCAGGTTTTAGTACCCTGCAGAGTGGGCTGGTGATGGGAGATGAGGAAGGGGACACCAAGCCGCAGCCTCGTAGCCAGGGGCACAGCGTTCGTGCTCACAGGAACCAGCTCTACAACCAGTAGCGAGAGCGCTGCGATGGGTCAAGAGCCTGAACGATTTTAGGGCATACTACGAGAGCTCCCCTGCGCGGCCGGCCCAGCTCAGGGGACAGCCCTCCACGGCCGTGTCCCCACGCTCCCGCCCAGCGTCCACACGACACCTACTCCTTCATGGTGTGCCTACGCTGCAGGTTCCCGCCGTGGGGCCGCTGCATGCCCCGCAGCATCTCCGCGTGGAACTCCAGGGGCTGAGGCTTAGAGAGGTCTCGGAAGAACGGCATGGCTACCGCAGGAGGGAGCCCCGAGCCCAGAGAGCAGCTCCGCAGGCAGCAGACAGGCGCGCGACCAGCCTGGCCAGCTGCTGCTAGAGCTCTGAATCCCAGCTCTGTGCTGCGCTCTTTCTCTGGGCCAGCAAGCCAGGAAGTGGGAGGGACCAGGCTGGAGGAGCTTTAAACGCTCCATGGAGTGAAAGAGGCATGTGTGAGTAAGGGCTGTGTCAGCGCCCAGCCGCGGCCGCTCCAGCTGCGCACCGCCCCGCACACAGGCTGCAGCTATTTATGATGACTCCTCAACCAGTTGCTGTAGCAACCAAAGGGAGGGCTGGAAAAATCAGCACAGAGTTGGGATAGTGGGGCCTTTCAGAGCAGCGGGAAAAGAAATCAGGCAAGGATTTACGAGGAGCTATTTATAGAGCGCAGGCATCCTCAGGAATGTGGGCTGGAATGTCCATCTCGCGGGCTGGCAGGGAAGGGGTTAACAGGAGGGGCCCACCATGCAACCCCAGGGATACAAGTCGCCCAGCTGGGCACAAGCGGTCATGCTACCCCACTACCTGGAGATCTGGCTCCTGCTCCTGACGACCCACTGGAAATGCACTGTAGGTACCAGTGCTCCTGGCATGCCTGGTGGCAAGACAGCCTGCCAGTGGAGCGCTCTGTGCCAGGTCTGTCTGGACAGCTTTGCACCTCTAGACCCTGAGACCTGGGCTGGCCATGCTCACAGGCCGGGCTTGCGAGGGCAAGCCCTGTGCCCCCAAGCGCTGTGACAGCAGAGCACCCAGCACAACAGGCTATCACTGAAGGCACCTCTAAGCAAGCTGAGGGCAATGAATTGATTCCTGTTCTCCTCTCAGGCATCTCCACTCTCTGTGGTGCAAAGTGAGAGACCTGCCACCAGAGCTGTGTGCTGCATGCACTTTTGTGACAACATGCTCTCTTACTTTTGTTATATGTCATGGAGCAAGAAAGAAACGCTCTGGGGTTGTTTCCTTCTATGCTCAGATCACCAGGAGATTCCGGACTGTAAAAAACAGCCACTCTCTTTACAGGGGTACTTCCCAGTGGCTCCCTACTGCAGAGAGAGGGATTTATGCAAGGTAGCATCCTACAGAGCAGGAGTGCTCTGATGCAGTATTGTGCTATGCAAGCCCAAATGGCCCAATTCTCGCTCCTGACTCAGGCACTGACTTGATAGCTGTTTTCCCAAGTCCCTCAAGTCTTTGATCCTGCCAAGTGCTTTTGGCGTACTGTGAGGCTGTCCAAATTACTGGCAAGGCCAGGAGGGCCCAGCATAAAATTGTTTGAGAAAAGTTCAGCTCTCTCAGGCCCAGGCACATATGTAGCTGCTGCAGCAATGGATGGAGCACATGGTTTTACACACACTCTGGCACAGGCTCCCATCCCACTAGGACAATGCACTTAAGTGCAAGTACAGGGGTTAATGTGACAGTCATTGCACAAAGGCATGAATCAGATGGTTTCTAAGCTAAGGACAGGGCTGCTTCATGCTGAGCGCAGTTCAGCCAATTGTCAATGGGGCAGGACAGCCTTCTCTAGGAGAAAGCAGGCAGTGGAGATGGAGAGTGCAGCATGGGGTGGGAGTATGGGTGAGATGGGATGCTGCTCTCTTGTGGTCTAGCTCCAGTCTGGCTCTTTTACCTGGTAAGTAGTTGTGCTGTGAGAGCAACTTAGAGCCTTGCAAGGAGACATCCCCAACCAGCAGCACCAGAGCAGTGTATCTGCAGTCACTGCACACAGCAGAAGAGACCACGAGGGGGTATGGAGCTGAACATCATGCCCCAAAGCCCAGGAGGCTCTTTCCACACCAAGGCAGGCCCCAGCTCAAAGGGAAATCTCACTGGGATGTTGATCTGGTGCCTAAAGGACAGGAGGCGGCAGGTTCAATCTGGAAACATGCCACACTCTCTGGTGCTGGGCCAGCTGAGCACTTCAGGTCACAGAATTTTCAGCTCACACTGTGCCCCACTAACTTAAAAGGGAGTAGCCCTGAAGAGAGGGATGTGCTGAGGTGTTTTGCTGGCCCTGTACCAGAGCTCTGCATCTCCCAGGATCAAACCCTTATTGCCCAAGGCGCATCAGTGCCTTGGACACCGACTGTCAGCTGCAAGCATCAGTAGCATGGGAAAAGAGGAGCCAAACAAGGACTCTAACCCTCAAAGCACCATCTGTCTCCCATTACGGCGCTGCCAGGAATGCTAATGCCTGTGTGTGCTGTTTTCCAAGGGAGAGCCACACCATGGGATGAAGCAATCCTACAAGTCGCAAAACCACAATTTTAGCTGTGCTCTTAATTTAGCGCTCCATAATTATTCCTCTGCAAGATCTTCCTCTCCAGTTTGCATTTGCAACATACTTAGGAAGATTACCTGGTACTTACAGGCACTTGTGTGTATGAGAGACTGAGAGCATGAACTCAACCATCCACATGTCAGCACAGTGCAAAAGTACAGACATAATCAAGAGGTGCAGAGCTGTCTGACACTATACAAGTGGAGATAGCCAATGACCAGTTGGCTTTTCTATTGTTTGGACACTAAGAAGCAATATGGGAAGACTGGCACGTTTCCTGAGTAAAGACACAAGCTATTCTATTGTTCTCCTTACACATTACAAACAAATAACAAAAAATAGCCTTGATCAGCCTCAGAGCTGCATCACTTGGTGCAATCCACAAAACTGAGCTTCCTGGTCCAGAGCATAGAAAACACTATCTTCCCCTTGGACAAGTATGAATCTACCCATTAATTTTAAAAAATCTAGAGCTGTAGAAGGCAGCCAAGCCCCACACAGGACAGTCCTGTAAGCCTGAAGCTGAAGTTGCAATATTCTTCACAAGGGAAAGACAGAGATTTTCTCTCCTAGGGCAACTCACAGCAGCATTAGCACCTGATCTCTGACAGCGCATGTCCTGCCCAGCCGTGCACTGCATCCAAGCACCCCGACACTGCCGAAATGCCACCTCCTGCTAAAAGACTTTAAAGCAAAGACTTTAAAGCCAGCAGCACCCCATCCATTCCTCTGCCTCTTCCCCCCAGGCTCTGGCCCAGTGCCCCAAGATGTGAATAAAAAGTCCTACCTTTCCAAGTACTTTTCAGAAAAGTCCACCATGGTGTGGTACATTGGGAAGTGGCCAAGGGCAAGAGGTGTGCACTGTTCTGGGGAGGAGAGCTGAGTGCCAGCTCTCAGCGGCAGGCACCATAAATACTCCGCACGGACTGACTGCAAACAAACAGCTCAGCCAATAGCAGGGCAGCGCAGAGCCGAGACGGTCCACAGCGAATCTGCTGCTGTCTCCTGTGACCTCAAGGTGAGGAGCGGGCGGTTGGCTCTGCAGCTGCCCTGACACCAAGTTAAAAATGAGAAGTTCTGCAGGGCTCAATCCTGCTTCCTCCCCAAGCCTGTGGCAGGTGAGCCGTGAAGTTACAACATCTCACAGCCGTGACAACAGGCTGGCAGGAAGGGATGTCCCATTGCTCTGCACTCAGAGCTGGTTGCATGCAAAAGCCAGATTGTAAAGGGCTCGTTTTAAATACAAGTGTCAGGAGGAAATCATCAGAGGGCTCCAAACATTGATCCCAGCAGCTGCAGCCTGTCTGCTCCCAGGCCCTGCGGGGCAACACTGCCACCCAGTGGCACTCAGACTACCGCTGCATTTCCCTGAACTGCACAGCCACCCGCCAAGGGCAGTCCTCGGGCTATACCCACGCACGTAACTGCCAAAGCTAAGAGCTGTGGCCTGTCTGCTGTTGCACTGTGTCCTTCCGCCCCCCACACACTAGGCATCTCTTTTTCAAGATGACAAACACATATGGGCTTTCAGTGTCCACTCCACTCCACACCAGGGTTACTGGGGAAAGAGCCAGCTTGCCAGGACTTATATTTCAGTATGTTCATCTAGGCCTATAACTGCTCTTTGATATACACATTTATTACACATCTCCCTTATTAACATGAGGTTGAACTAATGGAATTGTTCTACCTGGCATTTACCTATGCTGTCTGCCTGCCTCTTTCCTAGGCTGACCAAAGGGCTCTTTGTGGCCACAGGCCAGTCTAACCTCTCTCCCAACTACACAGTTGGTCCAGCAAAAGTTCTAACCAAGCAAATCTTGGTTCTTTACAACCAAAGGCGGTGTTTCCAAAGATCCCCACAATGGTGATGGCTCTTTTCTCTTCACTGAAATCTGACTGCAGAAATAGACTGTGACTGAGTCTTCCTTGCAAGACTCCACACTTAGGGCAGCTTTGAGGCATGTTTAACACTTAAAAGCCAGGCTTGCCCTACATTTGCAAATCTGACAAACAATGGTAGAGGGTCATGTTCACTAGAGAATCAGTCAAAGACTGAACAAGCGTGAAGGGACTGTTCTTAGTCGGTCCCCTGCCTGGCCTGAGCCAGCAGCACTTGAATCTATCTGGGCTTGTTCCAATCAGAGGGTCCATTGTTGCTGTACTGCCTGAGGGTACTTCCCTGCCGTATTAAACCGCAACAGCTGCAAGCTTCCCTACTCCTCCCCTGCATGGGGCCAGCTTGAAGGAGGCTGCCGGCTCAAGTTTCACTGGCTCTGAATGTCCTCTTTCTGAACTTCGCTTCCCTGCAAAGCCAACCTAGAGTCTCTCTCCTGGCACCAAGGGAGTCCTGCATTCGTGAGCTGCATCAAGCAAGAGAGACATGCTACACCAAGGGCCCTTCCCTGTGCAGGCTGTACTGTGCCGGCTTTCTGCCTCCTGCTTCCAGCTCTCGCTCCAACACACTTCTTCAGAAAACCAATCTTTAGCCACAAGCCTAGAGTGAGATCTTAGTCTGTATCTGTCCTTGTCCCTCCCTCCCCCCTGCACTGCTGAAGGAGAACTCAGCTGAGACAGCCCAGATACGACACAACATAGTTATTTCAAACATCAAAACACCAGTCTCCTCACTCAATCAGAGACCAAGACCCAAGGAGATCCACATCCCCCATCTCCTGTGAGACAGCTGGGCCCCAGGGCATAGGCAGGATAGTGATTTAATACTCAATGTGTGGCCACTTACAGGTTTTTGCTCCTTTTCTTGCGAGAGGCCTCGTCCCCATCCTCATAGCCACATTCAGGGTCCGCTCTGCTCAGCTGCTGGGGAAAATACAAAAACACCGTCTGCATCATGAAGTCGCCGTGTGCCCAGGTAGTTGCTGAACCCCCGAGCAGCTCCACATGCCCTTCCCACTCCCTCTGGCAAGGGTCTCAGGGACTGTTCGGCAGCCCACGTTTGCAGATGCCGGAGGCTCAGGAAATGGCCTTTGCCAGCACAGACCATGTGAGCCTGGGAGCGGGACCAGAGAGGCAAGCCACGGGTTTAGGTGCAGAGTTACACAGCCAGTCCCAAACGCCATTGGGCCAAGGGGAAGAGGGGGCGGGCAAACGCCTCAGAGGGAGCCAGCAGTCCAAATGAGAGCACAGCTGTCCCAGCAGGAAAGGCCATCTAGGGAATGGGAGAGAGTCCCCACCTGTTGCAGCCTGTTGGGGGTGCGAGGAAGCTGCAGCATGGAGCTGGTCTGGATACTGCAGCTGGAGTTAGCCAGGGGCTTGCTCCTTTTCCCATGAGGCTGGGCAGGAGCTGCCCTCCAGCAACACCAAAGTTGGAGAGGAGCTCCTGATGCCAGGCCTTCCAGGCAGCAGAGATGGCAGAAGAGGGGAGGCAGAGCAGGGGCAGCAGTGCCAGACCCATCCCCCAAATACTGCTTAGGCTGGGAAGGGAAGGAACTATTCAGCCAGTAACCGCAGCCATTCTGTGGTCAAGCACATCTGACTGGGTCTCCCTCATCCTGCTGCACCCCAAATAAGCCTCCCGATGCCACAAGAGGTCTCCTTCCCTCTCCCTTGAACCACAACCGTTATTCTGAACTCTCTCTCCCAGGGTGCTGTGGCATCCTGGCAGGCCCAAGAGATTGTTTTTAAAGGTGTTATGCAATATTAGCACTGCTAAGTGTGCAAACATGATCCACAAGATAAGCCCAGAGGTTTCAAATAGGAAACTATCGTGTCAAAATCATTCTGACCTGCTGTGGTTTTTCTGAGTTCTCTGCCCCAGAAGAATTGCTCTATTATTTTCCCACAGTCAACAAATGGATGGGGGGGGGCACAGCATCCTCAACAAGTGCCTTACACCTCCAGCATCATAAATTGCCTTTTGACCCTCTTAACAACACAAGAGACCTCCTCTGCATCTCCTCCCATAGGTCAGAGGGCCAGCTGGAGATCAGGCCAGAATGAAGGACCCCTCCTGAGTACCTCCAGCAGGACAGGCTATCCTGCATGGAAGGGTCTATCAAAGCAAAGGAAACAGAATTCCAGGCTCAGTCACTGTCAAGCCCTCCAAGGCTCAAAACTAAATGGGGCCTCCCAGAGTTTTCCAAGGAGAAACATCATTGCAAAATGCAAAGGCAACTTCCCTAAGCCATTCTCCACTGACATGGAAAAGTAGTGTATAAAGAAGAGCTAGAGGGTGGTGTAATGGACCCCAGAACTCAAAGGTACACCACCTTGAGGTTCATTTCTGAGCTGTCCAGCAGCTCCCTGGTGCAAGGGGAATGAGAGCAGAGCTTGCCCTCAATCCACACGCTCACTGCCTGTACTGCCTCAGCAGGTGCAGCTATCCCAGCAAAAGCTCAGAGCAGAGGAGCCTGCTCTGGCTAGGACTGTCCTGCCTCTCAGCGGGCAGCTCCACTGAGGCCTGCCCCAAAGCTTGATTAAGTGCCCTGCATTATATCACTGTTTTATTATGCCAAGAAGGCTGGCCTGACAAATGCAAAGGCCTCATCCCAAATGGGGCAAGGAGGAGAGGAAATACTGGTGGTGCTGCACTGCTCTTTGCAATCGTGGGTCCAAGAGGTGCCCTCTGAGATGCATTACAGCGATGGCTGTTTGGAAGAAACTGACAAGCGGCCCTATCCTTCTCACACTGCAGGCAGGGGTAAGATTCCCAGCGATGACAGCAGCAGGCTCAGGTTCTGGCATGTGCCTATATTTGCAGCATCCCAGTTGACCAGGCAGTCATCCAAGAGATCTAATTGCAGAAATGCTGCTAGTTCAAACACATCCTGGAGACCTGTCACCTCGCCCTGCTCTGGCTCAACTATTCCTGGATGGGCAGGATATCCTTTAAAGGTACTAGATATGGAAACATGAACTCCTGAACTGGAAAGATCAACCCTGGGAAACACTTTCCCTTGGTCACCAGAGGGAGAGGTGAGCAGGAGAGAGACACGGTGACACTGTGGAGCAGTAACTCCGTGGGGGATCCATACTTGTCATCTCCTTGATTCCAGAGCAAATGGGTTTTCAAGGACACTGTCAACAACCCTGGGATCAGAGAGACCTGCTGGGCTCTCTCCTGCCTGGACACTGTCACCTCTGAGCAGAGCTCCAGCAACTAAACACACCAGTGGAAGGCCCACAATGCTGAATGGGTGAGGCAGCATCATCACAGCTTTCCTACTCTTCCCATGCAGTGTCTCAGCACCAGGGGACGCAGCACAACTCAATGCAACAGGTTCAAATGGGCCTGGCTAGTCAGCAGCTGCACTAGTTGAGAGAAAGTGACTTGGGAGGTCTGGAAAGGTTGGTCCATCTGCAAACAGAACTTGGACGTGTTACCCAGCCCAGACCAAGGGACAGTCCAACCCTGCCCTGCCTCCGCAGGCTGCTGAGAGCCGGGCTTTTCCAAGCAGCCTCAGCACTGAACACAGAGGTACAGCTGTCACATCCCATGAGCCTGTGTGTTTGGACTGGTGGCGTGGGCCTGGTTGTGACAGCTGTGAGACTGTTATGCTCCAGCTGTCGGGAACACACGCTGGGTTCAGTGGGACACTGCACAGAACTGGCTGCCGACTACAGGCTCTAACAAAGGCCTGTCCCCCTGGTGGCTACTCAGCCTTTGCTGTACCCTGATCCTCCCCTTTTGTTCGCTTGCCGTGCCTTGATATACTTGTACCTTTAAGCAAAAGGAGGCTGCCTCAAGGATTCCCGGGTAAGCTTTCATCTGCTCCTGTCCTGCTCCCAGGTCTGAGTCTATTCTGATTCTGTCCTTGAGCCTACCCTAGCTCCCATCTCCACACTATTCCCAGGTACCAAGTATCCCATGGGCACCAGACCCCTCTGATTCCCTCCCCCCTACAGGCACCAGACCTGCTCTGGTTCTGGCTCCACTCTGGTTCTGCCGCCACCAGGTACCTAGTCCCTCCTGGGCACCAGAGCCTCTCAATCCCCTGCCAGGCACCGGACCTTCCCTGGTCCCATCTCTGTTCCAGTTCAGAGCACCTGGACCCAACCTAGTCCTTTCTCCCCCCTTCACCCATGCTCTAGCCCTGCTCCTGGGCTTCTGGCCCTGCTCCAGAGCCTATTGGGACCTCCTCCTCCCCTTAGTCCCTCCCAAACCTCCAGATGTTTCCCCAGACTGTAATGTCCTAGGTATTATTCAAAAGCCGCAGCCATCCTGCCCAGAAGATGTTCTCTCAGCAGCCTCCAGGGCCAGGCTGCCTGCCCAACTCAGGCCTGAGTTTATATCGGGTAGGCAAAATATGGCCCACAAGCTGGATGCAGCCCGTCAAGGGATTTTATCCAGCCCATGGCAGGTCCCTCAGCCCTGCCTGGCCCAGTTATGGGGGGGCAGCCTTGGCCGTGGTGCATGCAGCTGGTCCTGCCATCCCTGGGTGTGCAACAGGGCTGGGGTGGCCCAGCAGGCAGACTCGCTTCTTCACAACCCCTGAAGCAGTGGCTCCTTCCAGCTGCCACTGCCAGTCTCCACCACTGCCAGACCCAGCCCTGCTGCCCAGGCACACTGGCCCATCTACCCAATACCCACCACTGGGGACACCAGACAGAGCATGTGGGCAAGGTCTCCATGGAGACCAGCCAGGACCTCCATGGGCAGGGATGGGGGGATGGGATGGGGCTGCAGGGAAGGCAGTGTGTGGCGTTGGGAGGGGGATGGGCTAACCAAAACTCCCTAAGTGGCCCTCCAGCCCAAATAATTGCCCATCCCTGGCTTATATACTGCAAGCCCAGCCCAATTCTGGGTCACATGGCTCTTGATGGTCTCCTGCCACACAAGCTGTCTGCTTCATCTGCAGCCTGCCTACTCTTAAAGTAGCAGGAGCACCAAGCCTCCTGCTTACACAGGCCTTGACCTTGGAGCACAGGACCAGCTCTAGAGGATGGGGAAAAGGCTAACGTGTCAATATTTAAGAAGAGCTAGTAGGGCAGCCTGAGTAAGTAAGTGGAGGCCAACTAGTCTGACATCAATCCTAGGCAAAAATCAGGAAACAGCTGAGAAGAGACATCAACACGGGAGAATTTAAAGGCAGCCAAATCACTCTGGCCTGACAATCCAGGGATCAGCACTGCTGGGAAGGGGCTTTTATTCATGTTATGGGCAAGGGCTGAAAACAGAAAATCCCAGAACTAGGGCATGCTGCTGCCTACAGCTGTGGCACATCAGGATGGGTCTCACCATGCAGACAAGAAAAACCCCTGAGAATGCCCAGGCTCCATCAGAGTAGGTCACTGTTTCCCCTTACAGCTGAACACTGAGCTCAGAGACCCCACCTGGCATTTCCTAGAGATCTTAGATTAGGCTTGAGGCAGCTTCACAGACTCCAGCCCACCAAGTCCCTGACCAAGGAGTGGGGTATAGCCACTCCTTGCGGCCATGTGTCCGAATGAATGTAGAAAACTTCTTCCTTGCTGCCATAGGAAAGGATATCCAGAAGCAGAAGCCATGGCAAGCAGGGAAGAACTGACTTGGAGACCATCCCTGCTGAGCATCTCACTGTGCACATGGCTCTGGTCTGGGACAAGGGATGTGTTCTGTAGCTTCCACCAATGCATCTCATTACATCACTAATTGGCCCTGGCACTTGAATCTTTGGGACAGCCATGTGTAGGGATGGGCATGCATGGTGGGAAAAACACTAACAACACCCACCCATGAGCCAGGTTCTCCCATGGTAGCAGAGATATCCTGCAGGGAGGTCCCCTCTGCCCATGCGAGCTCAGGCCCATTATGATTTGCTCATCTTGCTATTTTTTGTAAAAATGGGGAAAAAAAAACAAAAAACTGTTGAATGTTC